TATTTATGTCATGCTGCCTTATGTTGGAAATAATGTAGAGCTATCACAAAATGTTCTATGAATTTGGTGTCCCTTTTTAAAACCTTCTAAATGGATGACTATTGCAAGATGATGGCAAGACATTCCTTTGTCTTGACTATGTATAGCTAAAGATATACTTCCTTTTGTTAACTGCAATGAAATTCCCCATCATTATAAATAAAGAAGCCTTTTTCTGTTTATACATTTCCCTTGCAAGCCTCAAGCATTTCTTTTCTAACTCATTTTAATGAGACAAAAGAGTTTACAGGCAGGACATCCAGAGAAACAAAACAGGTGGAGTCAGAATATTCCTAAAACAGGGTTTCTCAACCTGGGCAACTGTTAAGATGTGTGGACTTCAACTTCCAGTATTCCCAAGCCAACAATTCTGGGAACTGAAGTCTATACATCTTATAATTGCTGAGTTTGAACAACACAGTTCTAGAATGTCCTCACCACAGCAGACTCATCTGATTTTCTCTCCTTCTCCAGGTGTGCACACTTCTCAGGATACAAAAGCTATCACTTCATCTCACAGAGCAAAAACACTTGATCATCATCACTAGGCTTGATTATCACTACATTTTAGTAGGCTCAGTTTTTAAACCAGGCCATTATTTTATCTTAGAGGGAAACTGATCTACTGTTATTTCTCACTGAGGAATCCAGCTGAATGTCCCTGGAACTGCAAGGTTTCCTGAATAACAGGCTGAATATATTTTTCAACTGAAACAACTTTGAATCATCTGGGAATTGGTGGAGAAGAACATATGGAGTTCTTCTGCAAAAATAATGCATGCAGTTTCTGATTTTTCTTAAAGCTCTCTAGCCACATTACAAAACTAGAATCATACGGAATTCTGTTGTGAGGCTATTTTACTTTTTAAAAACTGTTGGTATCTGTAATGTAAACCAGCAGTTCCCAAACTTTTATTTTCAGTAAACCAGTACAGTGAAAGATTTTGGGGACTACCACATAAAGCGAAGGGTTGGGAGTACAGGACCTGTAAATATCATGGCACAAGTGATGCCGTCCAAGTAGCATCCCAAAATTAAATTAAAACTGTGTGTGTGTGTGCATGCAGGCATGTGCTGTAATGGCTGAAATCTTGTGAGATCACCAAATCTCATTTAAGTATGGAGTTCCCTCTTAAAATGGCAAAATCCTGTAAGACTTCAAAGGAGAGTATCAAAATCTTGTGAAATTTGGTAGTTTTGCAAACTTTTGACAAGTCTAATTTATTTTGGTTCCTATACCAGGGATCACCTGAAGTTTCCTAAAAGGCCACAGGTTGGAAAACGTCAGTGTATCTATTTCTTAAAATTAAAAGGAATGCATCCAACAAGTGATATGAGTTCTGTTTCAGATCAATGGACCATTTTCCAAGTAAATTTAAGGTTTAAGTCCCCACAAGCTCCTTCACCAGTAAAATTAATAATCCACGAAAAGTATCAAATCATATATAAATGAATAAAGGGGATAAATTATAACATTTTCATGGAATAACTATTTGATCTTAAATATGTAAAACAAGTGGGGACACACTAAAGAACTATCTGCTTAAAACTACACTGGAAATCTACGAGAATTTTTTAAAAAGCAGGCGTATGTTTCTCATCAGTATTTAGTTGTTGTTGTCTGCCAAGCCATAAACGAATACCATATGTCATAACCAACAGACTTAGCTCATAATAAGGCTCTCTGATCCGATACACAGCCAATAGCCTAGCCAATTCCATGAGAGAAGCTTTTGATCTACTGGTCTTCATTAACTGATATGATATTTGTGGGAGGTGCACAATTACTATTGAGTTTCAAACTCTATCTAATGTTTCGATTGAAAACAAACAATTTCACAGGCCAGATAATAACAATGCATGGGACTGGCTTCATAAGGATATGAGTAACATCTCTACAATCCTACACACATTAAATCAGATAATTTTTTTAGTCAGGTTTTCCTTTTGCACTTAGCCTGCCTTAGTTCTGAATGATTACTGGAATTATCACCTACCTTAATACTCCCATGTGTTTCTACTACTCCTTTCAAGTTTTTCTTTCTATAAAAATATGCTAAAAAGATGGAAGAGCTTCATAGTTCCATTAGAATGATAGCACTAAGGTCCTTCTGTCCAGAAGCTTCCATGTCCTTAATCGCTTTATAGATAAAATCTTCCATAAATATATTATGCTTAAATCAATTCAAGTAAAATAATCAACCTAAACATATAAAAAGCTAAGTGATAATGCCACATGATCAAAATTATGCCATTAAAAAACACCATGGCATTTTAACAATCAACTATTCATTTAACATGATTCAAAGGTTTAATGAACTTTAAAAATGCCAATTAAAGGTCAATTAAAACATTCAATAGTTTAGATATAATATATGTAAACTTTTTTCTGCTGATCCAACTATAATGGGATATTTTGCAGAGTTTAACTGAATTGGCCAGGGAGGATGAATAGCTTCATACAGCATTGTTATTATCTGGCCTGTGAAATTGTTTGTTCTCAATCGAAACATTAGAGTATGAAACTCAATAGTAATTGTGCACCTCCCACAAATATCATATCAGTTAATGAAGACCAGTAGATCAAAAGCTTCTCTCATGGAATTGGCTAGGTTCCGTGGCTACTATTGGCTGCGTATCGGATCAGAGAGCCTTATTATGAACTAAGTCTGTTGGTTATGACATATGGCTTCATACAGAAGGATAATGGTGAATACCTTTCTGGAACAACTTCTGATACCTTCATATCTAAACAAAGTTTCCCTCTGCTGTTCCCATCAAGGTTTTGCTAATCCATCATCATACCCAAAGTATATGAGTTTCTGTTTGCTAATCCTTGCATCAAGGCAGCAATCAGTCTATTTGGGCCACAACTGATTGATTGGTTCTTCTCGGAGTCCTGTATTATGGATTTCAGATCCATAATCTGAAGGCAGATCATCTTCCATCACTCTTTCTCAGGGTCCAACTTTCAAAGGTATGCATTATCACCAGAAAGAACACTGCTGTACTATTCTGAATTTTGTTGTTGTAGAAATGTTCTTAGCCTTCATGATTGTTTGTCACTGCTTTCTTCCCTAGGATTAATACTTTACTTCTCTAGCCTATTGCCCATTTTCATCTATATCTATGTATCATCTTCATTTTTCACTATCCACTGTTCATTAAACACACTGACTGAAATTACTTGGGTCTTCATAATATTTAACATTAATGCACTTTTTCACTTTCCATTTCTTTTCATAATAAACTTTTTCAAGCCTGTCTTTCAGCTAATGTTAACACTGTTGTCTGCAGTTGTTAGTGTTTCACCCACCACTTTAATTCCAACTGTCATCTTTTCCAATCCTGCCATTCTTACATCTACCTCAATTCTAAGGATAATTTTTAGAGGGCCAGGGAGATGGCCTTAGAGAAGGAATCCAGAGACTGTTAGGGAAACACCAGGTGCAGAAGAAACACGAGTTAAGGAGAGACTTACAAGATTCTATTATTACAGCTTGTTTCAATAAAGTATAGTTATCATTCTTCTGTGGCATCTGTTTGCTGATCTGGCTACCTTGAATGGATGTCAGCTTTTCAGAATGTGAAGTAATAATTCATCAGGTAATAGTTGATTCCTTAGTAATCCTACATTTCTTGTTTATTGAAGATTTTTAAAGGATTTCTTGATTCCCTTTTTTCTAGCACTCTCTGGGTTTTTGCACAATAAACTTACCCATGGCTAACTTACAGTTTACTCAATTAGCCCAATTTGGTAGGTTCATATGTTATATTTAATCATAAACTAATTGCATAGCATTAAAACATGGTTGGATGATAGTTTGTGGTTCTGGGTGTTGTGCGAATCCAGGCATCAATTTGTTTTGCCAGATGCAAAAGGCAATCCTTGACCAGATTTTCACGTTTCTTTCTAGTCAGCTTTTAGATGGTACAACAGAATTAATGAATCTGTGATTCTGCATTGCCAACTACAAAGCAAACACCTCAAACTAAGGATAGGTAGGTAGGTAGATAGATAATTGATTAGTCTTACTATATCCTGCCACTCTTCTTTCCCAGGCCATCAATTCACCCTACCCCACACACTCACACCTATATTTACTCTGGGCCCTCACAGCAGCCCAAAAATGTTATTGTAGTCATATATTATTTTATTGTTGCTTTGGCTTTAGCTGTTGTCTTGTACCCTGCTTAAAGTCATCTGACTGAACCAGTCTGTAAATTCATAAATAAATATATCAATATTGCTAAGACAACTTAAGCCTATGTCACTCATGGGTTATGAATTAGATGAATGGAATGTCATGGAGAGATGGCACAGAACAAGGGGCAGATGTATTTGTGCCATGGTTAATTAGGACACAGCCTTACTGAGCTTGCAAAAACAGATTTAATGCTTAGAACAAACCTGGATAAGTGAATACTAATAGAAAGCAGGTTAAGGAACTACCAAACTGTTCACATTTCAGGCATTACTTCCTTTGGGATATTCTTCTCATGAAAGTATAGGAAAAATCAGGACGTAATAGGAAGATATAATTTCTCAGTAATCAGAAAGAAGTGAATTAAAGGCATCAGCTACTCTATTATCAAGAAATGTGATCACTTTAATTCTAACTCATTGAAATGTAAAAAAGGAAGAGTTGGAGGATATGTTCTAGTCCAATAATCTGCTTAGTGCAGGAATCCACCGCTAACAAAATTCCTAAAAGATGGCCCAAAAGATGGTCACTATCTTCAAAAGCAGTCTCTTCCATTGTTGAACAGCTCTTACCATTAGGAAATTCTTCTGATGTCCAACTAAGATCTATTTCCTTGCAATTTAAACCCATTGTTTCTTGCTCTGTCTTCTGGGACAATGCAGACCAATTCTGCATAAAAACCCTTCTGCTACATGAAGACCACTATAGTTTCTTTCTCTTCCCCGGGTTAAACTTTCCCATTACTTCCAACTGTACCTCATAAGTGTTTCCTTTCGGGTCCCTCGTCACTTCTGTTGTCTTCTGAATACAGACCCAGTGGTACACTTGACACTTCCTTTTAGCTTCCTGTAGAATAGCATGTAAACACACTGATATGAATGTTGAACCAACGGCATATTCAGCTAATGATAGCACAGTTCAGCACCCATTGTGCCATCTTCTCTATGATAATATCATGAGAGACTGTCAAATATTCTGCTAAAATCAACGTACATACATTTCTGTGGTCAAATAAATTAGTCATTCTGTCTAAAAAAAGGGATCAGATTGGTTTTCCATGACTTATTCTTGATAAATCCATGCTGATGCCTGGATTTTTTTCCTAAATGCTAACAAAATATGTATTCTGTTTTATCTATCTATGTATGCGTATCCTTGTTCAGAATATTGCATGTATGTGATGCAGTATTCTGAACAAGTATACACATACATAGATAGATAAAATAGAATAGATATTTTGTTAGATTTAGTTTTACACAAATCTTTGTTAAAGTTCTTAAACAGAAGGTGTTAAGTTTACTTAAGTATTCTAATGTGTGTTAGATTTGGTTGTCAATATATAGCTAGGGGTGGATGAGCAGAAAGTTTTCAGAGGCACCATCTTTTTTATTACCTGCCTAAATAATTTAGACTCCATGTTATCTATTCAGATAAGCGAATATTCAGATGAATGTACAAACTGGAACCATTCTGCCCTTGAAATTTTACTTACCATATTGCTGCCATGCATTGTACTCTTGAGAATAAGCAAGTTTTATTACTTACTTTGTGCAGAATGCTGATTTTTCAGCTCCTGGAGTGTCACAAAAGTACCTCTCCTATAAGCAGTCTGGTTTAACCTTAAACCAGATTAGATTATTTCTCTATGTAATCCCCTCTTTCTTAGTCATTCAGACTGGAAACCAACATCCAGAAGAATCTTAAATTAGAGAGAGCGAGAAAAATGGGTATTAGATACCATCTTGCTTGAAATGCATTAGAATGGCAGCCATGCCCTGTTGTGAGTAACTGGTACTACCTTTGGTACTACCTTATTTATTTCAAATTGGGGGAGAGGAAGGGATGGAGAAAGAGAGAGAGACAGAGAGTGTTGAACTACAAATAATGTGTTGGTTAATAACTAATTCAAATCACATTTTAGCTGAAAAATGGAACATACATAACATTTAGGATGAGGGCAAACTGAGTCCATTGGTCTCTTTGATATAAAGAATTACTTAAGTGGCCTAAGAGACCTACAAAAGCACTGTTTAAAAAAAAAATTTTTTTTTCATTCAAGAATACACATTTCTCCTTTTTTAAAAAACGCTATGTATTTGTAACACCTGGAGACCCTCTGTTTCTGTTGTATACGTAACTGAACTTAGAGGTCTAATTTCCAGATAAATATGGGTAACATCTAAGTGGCTAAATGAGATATATACTACAGAATTATACAGTAAATCTTTTCCCCCAGGGATTTCCTCCTCTCTCTAGAGAATAAGGAGTTCTACACCAACAGGGTTAGTTTTATAGCTAGCACACACACAATTTGTCAGTTAGAGTCAATCTGATGTTTTGTTGTTATTTATTTGTTAACGTGTAAGCCTCCTCTATCACTCAGGTGATTCAAGGCATTATACAACAAATTAAAACAATAAAACATGTAGGGAACTATAATGAACCTCTCTCTCTTTCTCTCTCTCTCTCTCTATATATATATATATCGGAGAAGGAAACACCAAGAATCAAGGAATAAAATCCAAATGACCCTGCCCTGGGGTCTGCTGAAATAGCCACTTTTAAAGGGCTTTCCTGAATGACGACAGCCTCCGGGCCGTTTAGATTTTGGAGGGGGAGATTGTCCCATAGGGCAGGGGCAGCCGTAGATAGGTCATATCTCTGAGAGCCCACAAGAAGACAATTTTAACTGTGGGACCTGGCATACGCTTGCTCTACTAGATTTAATAGGACGGGCAGACTAAACTGGAGAGAGGCAGTCCCTCAAAGAAGCATATTTTGCAGCTTATTTGCATAATCACATAATTAAGCCGAAGAAACAAGCACCAGCCACTGATGCTGTACTGATGTGTCTTCAGCACAGTCCATGGACATCAGAATAACAAAAATACACTTTTCTGACAATTGCCCTGAAGCTTCTTAATACACTTGTAGGTTAAAACCGGCAACCTATTTACAAAGTGCGACAATGAAACCAAAATATTCCGGCAACCTGAAAGCTTAACTGGAAAAATACACTGTCTGTAATGCACATGTGCAGTACAAGTAGTCCTCACTTAACAACTGCCTCATTTAATGACTCTTCAAAGTTATGATGGTGTATAAAACCCCCCAGCTTTGTGACCATCAGTGCCCCTCGGTCCCTTGATCGCCATTCAGGCGTTTCCCAACTGGCATGCATTTATGACCATTGCAGTATTCCACAGTCACGTGATCACCATTTGTGTGCTTCACAATCATTCTGACAAGCAGAGTTAATGGAGAACATTAAGTAAAATTGTAAATCGCAGTCAGGTGATATCTCGGTTAAAGACCGCAGTGACTCGCTTAACAACTCAATGGGAAGTGATACTGTAAGTCCATTGTGGTCATGTGATTTTCCACTTAGCAGACATGGTGCTTAGTGACAGAGTTGCCAGTCCCAATTGTGGTTGCTAACTGAGGACTACCTGTATACTTTTGCATTTGTCAACCTTCATTAAAAAAAAAAAAATCAAAACCTCACAGAATACAGAGCCAGTGTTGTCGTATAATAAGCTGCTTTTCTGTTATTGCAATCATGTAAAAACATCAGTAAAGTTACCTAGTAGACAGGCAGCAATGTACACTCAACTGATTCATCCTCTGCCTGTCAACTCAATGCAGCCAATGAGAGCAAAGGTATAACCCACAGAGTTCAGCCTTTTTTAAAAAAGGCTAACCACAGTGTAGGTATGTAGTTATCTTAGACTCCTCCCTTTTTAAACAGTTGTTGAATTGTTTGATTATGCTCCACTCTGAGACAATACCTTGTTTAGAAATATTTCAATAACTGAAAACATACATTATTTCATTTGTCTTTATTTTCTTTTTCCAAGGAACATAAAATTGCATTCACGAGGTCTGTATTTGTTTTTCATCTGTAAATTAAAGAGAAACAGAAGGACATGCCCCAAACAAAAGAAGATAAAAAGTGCACGTATGCTTTATTAGAAAATCTTAATCCTGGTGTATTTTGAAGAAAAATCTCTTCTTCTTCAGGGGGTTGTGAATGATAGAAATGACTTTTTTATGATAAATACTTCAAAGTAATCATTTCAAATAAAGTACACACAAGGAGCGCATTAACCAGCATGCAACATTATCGAGCATAAGATTTCATATGTAGTTTCTGTTGTTCATCTGTGCATTGATCACCCAGAGCTGAACTTGAGCAAGGTTGCTTAATTATGTACTGTACCTCCAAACCATAGATTTGACCACAGAACTTGATACAACTTGTTGCTGAACAAACACTTTTGCTGCTTTGTAAGATGACAATGAGTTTGACACATACCTACCAAGTTGCTATGTTTCACAACACGTCAAATGCTAAAGAAAGCTTTCTTTTTCCCAATAAAGAGAAAAGCAAAATAATTCACTGTTAAGTTTACCTGCCTGAGATTACAACAGATCTGTTTTATTTATTAAGTAGGCATGTTTTCGTACAGCTTCAACTGTTCAAAGAGAGCTCAAATAACACCAAAGAATTAAAACTCAGCCTATATGCTAATTGGAATGCAGACTATCTGCTCATTTGTCCACAATCTAGTTACCCTGCTCAACTGGTTTCTGGATCACAACCTGAGCCTGAAAAAGCTAGTAACAAAATGCAAACAGACAAACACGTTACTGATAAATACGAGGGTAGGGTGTAGTAATAAACAAACTGCCTCTGATGAATCTGTGCTGGCCATTAATTGCGGCTATTACTTTAAAAAAAGAGTGCAGTTTCTTTCAGAACAGGAAACCCATCATTGGTTAATTTTAACTATTCTTAAAGAACAAACGTAGGCACTGGCTATCCCCAGGCCATTAAAGGTCATTTTCTCCTACCTGGAGTCTTCCAAATATATTCTGGCCATTCTCAGCCTGTCCTTTGGCCTTGCCGGCCGAGAATTTGGGAACCTGCACTCTCAAAAGGCCTCGAGGGCACCAGGCTAGATTTCATTTAAATGTAATTAATTTAAGAGGTGATCGCATTCTGCTCTGCGCAGTAACTTCCGAGCCTAGTAAAAATCGACCGGGCAAGGCGACTTGCTAGTGGCTAAACACAGCGGAGACCCCCTTGCAAAAGACGGTACAAGCACGTGGGCGCTGCTACTCCTTTATACAAAGAAAAAGCCTCAAGCTAGAAAAACTGCAGTTCGTGGCTTAAGCCACGCTGCCCGCCCCCACCCTTCGCCCGTATCCGGGTGCGTACTTTGATCCTTCGGCTGGCGCTCTCCTGAGTGTGACGTCACTTCATTCATTCTCAGTTCGAGAAGCACCCGAGGGATCATTTGAACTGAGACGAACGGGGCGCTACGTCGCCTGATAGCTACCCCCATTGATAAACCTTTAAAAACACAGTCATTCATTTCAAAGCACACGATTCGGTTAAATGAATCCATGCAATAGATAAATAAAGACCGTATATTTTTCTTGACCGCTTTTCAGAAATCTTTTACGATTTCTATGGACAGTATCGAATATTCTTTCGACCGATTGTTGAATAGACAATAGCCTCCCCGTTTCTTGAATCTTAGTGGTGCAGTCCCTTTTGACATTCCGCTAGGAAATCTGTCTGCTTCGGCAACTGCAAATTGTGAGGATGCTTCTGGGTCTTAAAGCCCATTGTTTTAGGCGCGATCAGGTTTCTTTCCCATGGGCAGGAGTTGAGACAGAGAAATACTGTTCTTTGCATAAATACAGTCCTTATACATGTAACTATAAATACTAAGCAACCAAGGGGACATTGTTGTCCTATTCCTGCTCCATCTTATATATCACAAGTATATGGTACAAGCTTTCATGAGCTGGAGTTCACTTCATCAAATGGAGTGACAGAGTAAGCTGTTACTCATAAAAGCTTATGCATTTTAATAAAATCTGTTTGTCTGAAAAGGTGCTACCAGACTCCTGATTTTTGTAGGGTACCTCAAAAGGTTTTAGGCTATCTCGACAGGTCTCTACAAACACAATGGGTTTTTAACACATAACAATTTTCAATGCATTTATTTTCAAACATTTTAAGAATAAATGACTACACAAAAGGAAAAAGAAGAAAATGAGAAAAGATATACAGTAGTGGATGGAAAATAAAATATCACTAAATAAACAGATTTACAATTGTCACAAAATTTAAAATTCATTATTTCATTGATTAAATAATTGATTGAATATGTAAAACTAAACTCATTATACCATCGGGACAAATCATTGTTAATCATTCCAAAACTCTAAAGATTCATATTTACATTGCTATCAACACTATTTGCCATTATCTGGAATAAATACACGTGAACTTATAAAAATGGAAGTAAAATCCAGTCTAAACAACTGGCCAACTGTGCAACCAAAAATAATAAAAACAATCAGTAAAAGCAACATTAAATTACATTCTTCCACTGTACCCAGATGGTGATTACATTAATTATTTATAAGCATTAAAATTATTTCTGGTTACTATCTTTACATCAAATATTTCCCCCTTAAAAACATACCGAATTCAGTATCTGAATTTGCCTTGTAGTGTGATATAAATTGGAATAAGCAGGAAGCCATTCTTGCTTAAATTTAGTCAAACTTCCATTCTGGGCCTATACTGTTAATTTTGCCATTGCTGCATATTCTTCAAGTTTGGTTGCCAGTCTGATACTGTCAGCAAAGTATCTCTTTTCCAATGTTGGGCCAAACTTGTCCTTACAGCTGTCACCATATAACTTAATAATAAATTGATTTTTTTTATTCATTTGTTCTGGAAAAATTCCCAATAGAAAAAACTGAGATTTTAATTCAATTTTTTTAAAAAAAATAAAAAATAATTCTGTGTATTTCTTTCCAGTACTTTTGAATTTTTTTACATGTCCACCAGATATGATAAAATGTTCCTTCTGTATCCAACATTTCCAACACACACACACACACACACACATATTTTTGCAATTATGGATGGAGTTATATACCATGAGTAAAACATTAATTTATAATTTTCTCTTAAATTATAGCTTGGGGTAAATTTTACTGAATTTTTCCATCAGTCTTCCAATTGTTGTAATTGTTTAAAATTTTGCATCCACTTTATCATGCAGTCTTTTATTTGTTCTGTCTCTGTGTCATATTTTAACAGCTATTTACATATACATCCTAATTTGCCCACCCACCTGCCCCACTTGGCATGATGCCACACTACACTTCCCAAATTTTGCTCATTGTCATCTCTCATAGCCTTCCAATCAGAATTCTGCCAAGACACATTCCCAGACACATTCAAGTAATTAATCCCCCTGCAGCTTTTGCATTCATTCTTGTTTATTTTCCCTTTGTAAAGGGGAACGGTAATGGCATTCCTCCAGTCCTAGGGCACAGATGCAGACTTCACCCATAAATTAAACAAGTTGCAGAGCCACTCCATATGCAAACCCCATCCATATTTTAAACTTTCTCCAGTTACAGTTGCAACCTTACAATTGTTCAACATTCTTATTTCATTTTCATCCATTTTTTTCCTAAGCACTAATAATGATTGATTACATGCCATTTAGACAGTGTCAGCTCTTAGCGACCACAAAGATAGACCTTCTCCAGAATGAGGCACTGACATTAATAGCATTCAATTCAATTTGACTCTTCAACATGTCACTGTCCTCTCCATACAAATCTCTAAAATAGGGCTTCTGGCCTTCTGTCACTTCAGTTTTATCCCAAGTAATGTTATCACTTTTATCTTTATTTCCATTCACTTTGCAGACTGCTTCTTTTCTGGCCCTTTTTACTTGCTTCCAAAACATAAAAATATATCTTCATGAAAAGTACTCTGCATTTTCTCTGTCTTTTTATTCTTTCCAACCCAACTGAATATATTTATTATTTCCAACCCAACATAATGCAAGCAGGTCACCACTCTGTCCATCAGCAGGATAACTCTCCAAAACTAAACAGAATGGGATCAAATTTGTGTTGGGGGAAAAACTAGCAAAGAAAGACTGAGTCTTAAAATGCACTGGATCTGGCAGGTGGTTGGAAAGGAAGGAAGGAAGGAAGGAAGGAAGGAAGGAAGGAAGGAAGGAAGGAAGGAAGGAAGGAAGGAAGGAAAAGAAATCCAGAATAATTTCCCCAATATGGGAGGAATCTGGGTAGAAGCTCAGAATACTGGTGAGTGCTGCAGTCTAGGCTTCCCTTTCTCCTTCCTTGTCATGACCCACAATGCTGCCACTATAAAGTGATAATTAAGATTCTGGAAAGAATTCTACAAGCCAAGCTACTTGTTTCATGTTAGGTATTTCCTGTTCTTTGACTTCATTCTTAGCAATGTCTGTTTCTCTTATATACTTTATACAGTATCTTTCTCTCATCTTCATTTTTGCAACCATTGCTCTCTGATATGTAGCGAAGAAAGACAATGATCTCATGAAAGACCTTAACAAAGAATTACAGACATCTGTTAAAAGAGACAGGGAACAGTATTACAGTGATCTCTGTAAGGACATCAAAGATGGAAACAGACATATAAAAACAAGGAACATTTCCCCCAAAATCTTCAACTTCAGAAAGTATGCTAAAGGATGCTAATGGACAGATAGTAATCAATTTAAAGAAGATCAAACAAAGATGGAAGCAGGAGACTGAAATTCTGCACAGTAGAGAAGATATCCAAGATACCCTAGAAGATATTCCTTATTTAAAAGAACCTCTAGTACTGGAAAATGAAGCTGTATCAGCTCTCTGGCCATCACATTAAAGCTACAGGGAATGATAGAATATCTACAGAAATAAGGTAAGGAATAGAAAAATCAGTAAAGGTTCTAACAAATTATGCCAGCAAATTGGGAGAATGACACAGTGGCAACAGATTGGAAGAGGCCAGTTTATATTACCAATTCCAAAGAAAGGTAATATCTTTAATTTCACATGCTATTAAAATAAGGCTTAGGATCATCTAATGCAGATTAGAGCCCTACATGGACAGGGAGATGCCAGATGTTTAAGCTGGTTTTAGAAAAGGTTGAGGAACAAAAGCAATTGCTGATGTACCCTGGACAATTGAGAAATCCTGGTGTGTTTTTTTTAAAAAAGACATTATGTGCATCATTCCCTATAGAAAGGGCTCAAGCGTGTCTACCATTTCAACCTGTAGAATGTTCTTAAGAAAATGACAACATCTTGAACATCCCAGAACATCATTATTGTCTTCATGAGAAACCTGTATATAGGAAGCCATAATCCAGAAGGAACATGGTGAAACAGATTGGCTCCAGGTCAACAAAGAGTGGTGATGGGTAGAAAATTTACTAAGGGAGATATTGTCCATTTATGCCCTCCAGAAATGGTTGCCTGTCCTTTCTGGCAACTGGATAATGGGGATACATGCTGAGGAGATGGATATGTTGAAATTATATTATAAATACTAAAATGAAAAGGAGTATTTTAAAATAGAAAAGTTCCTTTTCTTCAAATATGATTCTAGAAGTAGCTTTGAAAGTGTTTTGAAACTTCTACAAATTGCTAAATTTATTTACATCTATTTGGTGAAATAATTGTACAAGTGTTTGCTGAACCCAAAATAATATTTTCCATTTTTCATGAAAGCAGTAGGAAGCTTCCAAAGAGGACAGCCTTATAGCACTTTTTGAAATATAGGCCTATCACCTGATTTTAAAAAAAATCCTTAGGCTTTTATTACATTAAGCTGGGAGTTAACCGATTAAATACAAGGGAATTTAAACTCCTTAGTAAACAAATATATCTTTGTACTAATCTTTAGTGGAATGAGTGTTTAATAATATCTGCATAAATCTGCATATGAAGAAATAATTGTTTTGAAAGAAAAATATCATTTGTTTTTAGGCGGTTAATGCAAGCTATAATCAGCACCAACTTTGTGCCATAGTTAAGTCAAGTGTAGAAAGACCTTGGAGGAGGAAAATCTCACGAAGTATCTCCAGCTAACCTTATTTCCAATCCCGCATTAAGTTTAATTTTGGTAATTTGTAATCCTCCTACGAGTGACCTTGCAGGTATGTTCAGAGCTGTCCATGTTTCTGGAGAGAGCAAGTTGAGTTGAGATGCATCTCAAACCATCTCTACTTACAGAGTGCTCTATAAGTCAAAGACTCTATCCGAGGGACAGAGCACAATGTCACTTTACATATTATTTCCTTCATTCTGGCAAGACAATTAGAAAGATGTCATGGCCAAAGGTATCAAAGACTGCCAGGAGATTCTACAAAGGAACAGAGGTGCTTCCATCTCTCCTACAGCAACAAACCAAGACAATAAGGATCAAGACAATAATTATTTAGTTCTGTTCTATTCTGCATAGTCTCTTGTGCTCAATCATCTGAATTTATAAGCAAGTACACGAGCAGGGGTTTTGTGGCAGAAATTAACTTTCAGACATGCTCTTTCTTCACTAGGAATCTTCAGCATAGCTCAGCCGTTGCTGTAGTAGGCTACAGTTTTGTGAGAATAGCAACCATATATTGCCCTGTCTCTCTTTCCCGTGTCAGCTGG